AGGCATATCTCTCAAGAATAAGTCTCCTGTCGTGTGGAACAAGCACATCTCTGTCCTAGAGGCAGTCAAACTTTCATTTTATTAGGAGGCTTAAAGTTAAAATGGTTGTTGTGAAATATATAAATACATGGTATTAAATCTCAATTACTTAGCTTACAAGTCAGAACATATTTCTTGCATTATCTAAAGTCAATATTATCTAATGCAACTCTCAGCTCACTGAAACTGTTTTTAACAGTTACCATTTTTTTCATGTAAAGAAATTCAAGAAATTACTTCGTTGTCAATCAAATTTTAAAATTTTGCTTGCTGCCACTTACTCTTCTTGGCCTCTTTTTCTGACACCATCATCCAACAATTTGAACCTTTCCTGCATCTATGATGTCCTCGTTATGACCTTTATTGGTGTGTCGGTTTGCTGAAACTGGAGCAGCCTACATGCTTTGGCTCCATATGTGGGAATCCTCTCTGTTGTTTAAACTGACAGGACTGCTGCTACGTCCTCGCTTCCTGTCAGTCAAGCAGTTGCAGCAGCTTGTTAGTTTCCCACCAGTCTCTTTCTGCTGCACATGTAGCATTTTTCTGAGGTGGTTATATTAATGTTCTCTAACTGTATAAAAACCTGCATACCAACAATCTTAATTTTTATACATAGTGTGAGACTACATAGTCAGTTATATCAACTTGTTTTCTGTATATATGTGCAAAATCTCCAAATATCAAGATTTGTTTTGGTGTGTTCATTCCATTAGACTTATTTGAGCAATAGATATATGAACAGTTTAATGAGGGGTAGATTCCATGCTTCCATCAAAGAATATATCTGATTGCTTATGTCATTAACTTTGCCACAGAGATGATCAAAACTAAAATATTCCTTCTTAATAGATAACTTTATGTTTTATAAACCAGGGATTGTGAGATTCTTTCAACATGTCGATTTTTCGCAATATAAATTGAGGTTCAGGCAGGAGAGCTTTGTTTATTTCACATTAAATAATAAAATAGAAATTTCTTCCCACAAATTTGAAGCCTCAAGGCTGTTTGCATACAACTTGTTGACCTAACAGCTGTGAAATGTTTGCAATAAAAAGAACATTAAATCACAGCCCCATGGGTTTGTTTTGAGTGGAGTATTTCTAAGCATAATGATGAAGATTTTGCCAAAATCAAAGAATGCTAAAGAAAATGCAAAAAGCATGAAGGTGGTGTGTTTTTTCAGTCCTGTGATGAAGTAGTTTTACATTTAGCTTTATTTGCACATACAAAAATATATATAAAAAATATATACAGTTAAAACTGTGCAGGAAAGTTCTTCTAAAGGGTCTTCTAAGGTACCCCTCCTAAAACATAACAGTAGATGGAGACAACAGGAGACAAGTTGATATATCAAATGTATTTAATATACACTTTATGTACAATTTGTGATTAGCATAACATTTAGCTGTTTACTAAAAGAAATAAAATTAGTAATTGATTCAATTTACGGAAGAGGATTAGGGCTTTTGAAAAGTTTTTTTTTTAAGTTAAAAGATTTCAAATTTTAGTGGAGTTTAATATGGGAAAAAGGGCAGACTTCTAAATCTAATCTTAGAATTCTGACTTTTTTTCCCATATTAAACGCAAATAAAATAAAAAAAATCAGTTTAATTTTTTTAATCATATTTTTAGTTCTTTGTCCTTAAAATCATAAAGTTTATTTTTTTGAACATGAAGTGAAATATCATTAACCTTAAACCATTCTGAAATATTTGACAACTCTTCATTTTTTCTCTTATCAGGCAATCTAGATTAGAGTGTGAAATCAAAAGACAGGTATTGTCTGCAAAGATAATAGGCAGTGCATTTTTACAAACATTTCATCATTGATGTAGATTAAAAATAAAAGAGATCCCAAAATTGAGCCCTGAGGAACCCCACAAGCTATTTCTGCTCTAGTAGAAATTTGATTATTCATGGAAATAATAATGTTGTCCTTTATGGAGATTGCTATGCAACCATTTTAAAACATGTTCTATGTCACATTTATTAGATTTTGCTAAAATGATTTTAGGATTAACTGTGTCAAATGCTTTAGATCAGTGGTCTCCAACCCTGGTCCTCAAGATCTACTGTCCTACAGATTTTAGATGCATCCCTGCTTTAACACAGCTGAATCAAATGATTGATTACCTTTTCAAGCCATTCATTTGATTCAGCTGTGTTGAAGCAGGGATGCATCTAGAATCTGTAGGACAGTAGATCTTGAGGACCAGGGTTGTAGACCACTGCTTTAGATAATTAAAAAAAATACCAAGAGAGTATTTTTTATCATCTAAATCTTTTGCAGCCTTATCAATAAACTCTAAATGGTTTAGGTCTTTGTCTTTAATATGGGGACCCAGGTTTAAACTTCCTGTAGCGATTCCTCCATATGGGAGCAGCTAGAAGTCTAAATGAACCCTTCATGCAAACTACAGGTGGACATTCCAGGTCCTGAAAGTAAAAGGCCAGTACAGAGCTTAGTTCCAGCCAAGGCCTAAGGAGTGTCCAAAATTGTCTAATTGTAATCTATTAGTCTAATTAGTAATTGGTAAGAGCTCTATTCAAAACTTTGAAAAAAGGTTGAAAAAGGAAACTTGATACCTATCTGCCACTTAGGACCAATATGGATTCCCAAAATCCTTTGCAGCACAGAACACAAAGGCACAACCCGCCTCATAGAACTAAACAAAAATACATTATTTCTTCCTGTGAGCGCTTCATCTGTTTGCTAGATTTGTACAGCTTTTTTTTTTTTTTTTACTTTTTTTCCACAAAGGTTGTAATCTGAATTTGACAACCAACATCCATGTGAGTTTCCTTCAGGCTTTGAGGTCTGTAAATCTGAAAGCTTTCCAGATTCGGCACAGCAGTTCCTTTCTTACCTTCGATAGTGTTCTTACTGTTGACCTACATGGATGATTCTATTCAAATCTGGAGCAACTGTCTTCAAAAAAAGAAGCACAAAAATTGGAGTTACACAACTGTAGCATTCAGCTGAAACTCTCAATTACACAAACCAAACTACATGTAGGGGTGCACATTTACATGTTCGATTCACAGTACAATGAAGCAATAAATGTAACAGTCAATAGCATTAATGGACACTCTATTCCCTTTAGATGTTTTCGTTTAATTCCATCACGTGAGCAGTACTTGGAGGTGAGCTGTACTTGAATGTGGGATTCCTTATAGCTCTTTAGCTTTCTAGTATACCCCTTTCCCACTAGCCAAAAAAAAAAAAAAAACAGTTTAAACCCAGGAAAAATCCACTTTAAGTGGCAGTGGGAACGGCTCACTCACCGATGTCGACCCCAGTCAAACAACCCGGCAAGTGACATGGGTTATAATCGCGTTCAAACGGCCCGGACTTCTATCAGATGAGCATACCCCATCAAACCAGCATACCCATAGTCTATACACATGCGCAAGACATTAGTTTTGAACGAAAAATAGACTTTAAACTACCTCAATGGGTGGGTATCCCTTTAGTCACCTACAAAAAAAATATATATTTAAGGTGATATCGCCATACACTTAAAAAAACACCAAAAAGAAAGTAATTAAATTGTTTGACTAAAGGGATAAACGTCCATTGAGGTAGTTTAAAGTTTATTTTTCATACAAAACTAAAGGGATAAACTAAACGGATAAACGGGTATTGACTATGTAGGTAGGCTGGTCTAACAGGGTATGCTCATCTGACAGAACACTGGCTGTGATCGGCATACAGTCAGAAGATCTGTCAACCCGCTAATTTATGTGATTCCATAGAGCGCATCATCAACACACCAGGCCAGTAGCGTCTGATCTAACAAGCTAAAATGACTCTGTTTCCATTTGATAAACAGCAGAACTGGTGAAAGGGATCTGGATGGAAACATTAAATCACACTGAATATGCCATGGCTCCCTACCATGTTGCTCTCCATTGTTTACTTTCCTGATTTCTGTCGCACTGGTTATATCATCAACGCCCCAGCATGATGGCATGAATAGAAAAGCAGCAGCTAGGGGACAGAGGCCACGCAGCTTGCTAGTGGGGGATCAGACACAGATTTTTTTGCCAATGGGAAGGGAGCCAAATCCTTTTATTGGCAGGTCGACCCACGTTTAAAACCCATGTTAATTTCAGTGGAAGGCCATATAAAGAACAAATGATAGGAAGCACACAGCCTCCTTTTCCTACCTCCTTCCTTACTGCTAGTACTATTTGGACAGCACTAATAATGCCAATTGCTGACACGTATGGCTAAAGAGTCCTCACCAATGAGACCATTTCGGTCACAGTAAAGGACTTTTCTGCAAAATGAAGGTAAACTAGGTGGGTTTTTTTACTATCCAGACCTGGGTTATTGACCTGAGCAAATAAATAAACAGATACATATTTTTCATATCATGTTTTAATTTGGGCCTATTTTTTCAATTTGCATATCTGGCACGTGTTATTAATAAATGCATAGTTTTTGTATTTTATTTTAGTGTTTTTCATTTATTTACTCTTCATATGTGATACAGAACCATGGATGTAAGCTAAATTGTTTTAAAATTCTTTACATTTATTTCCCTCAAATTTTTTTGTGTGTTTTATTATTGTTACCCACCATGTTTAACAAACAACAAAATGCTTTTTGTTGATTTTCGTTGATAGTTTCAATTGATTTGCCAGATCTTTGCGTACTTTTATAACTACTTTTTGCGTTTTTTATTCGTATTTAACAGCCACAGGTCTTATGACTTTTTTTCTGTTTTCCTTTTTTAAAGAGAGAAATCAGGTGCGTTTAATTTCCTTAGCAGGACAGTCCGTCAGAGCGGATTTTTACGGAAGTCTGTGATCTCCTATCCTCTCAGAAAGGACACGTGAGCAGTGAAAGAGGCGCACCCGCAGTAAGGAGGGCGTGTCTTTGAGTTATGCCGCCGCCGTGCTGATTGGCTGAAACCGGTGGACGTCACTGTGTACAGACCAAGCAGCACGCAACAAACCCGCCCAGTGTCCCCGGGATGAGAGAGGACGGCTGTTTGAGCAGAGAAAGAACAGGGAAATGAAGTTGTCAGACAGGCTAGCCCAGCAGCTCTCTCCCTTCAGCTCGGCCCCTTTCAACTTCTGAAGGCAGGTTTAGATGACAAAATCACCGCTATGACCGTCAGTTAGCAAATGTCACTCAGCTACGGGGCTATCAGATAACGTTACCCACCGAGAAGAGAAGCGTAACAGTAAAGAAAGTGGAGACAACTTGCTATCCCGCTAACTCTCCTCCAGCAAGTCGACTGCGTTTCGGTTTCAGGACGACACCTCATTTGGTAAGTTTTAGTAGCTTAAACTTTACATGTCTTGTTTCTATGCGACGTTTCTACAGAACTTGTCACTAGTTAGGCCATTTCCAGATGCTGCTATCCAGCTCAGAAGCTAGCTGTACTTTTCTGATACACCATAATGTAACGTTGACGTTTTAATGTCGTTTTTACCCTAACATCCTCCCTGACGTCGCTTTGAAAGTTAGCGTTTTTTACTAGCATAGCCTGTCACTTACTTTTTTTTTTAAACATATAAAGAAACCACTCGAATCGACGTAGCAAAGTTTAGCAATTTTTTTTTAACTGTTTTTATATTTTCAATAATTACATTTATCCATGGGCGGATTATTATACAACAGATTCCATGGGCTCAAAGGTGCTCAAACTCCCCCCTTAATCCCCCCCAGGAATGCTACAAACCAACAGCATATTATCAATTATGTTTAATGCTCGTGCATCTTTCCTTTTAAACAAGTAATTTATATTTTTACATTACTTTTCAGGTATTTCGTTTATTTTATTGTACTGCTTTACCTTTTCAGCATTTTTAGTTTCACTTTTCTGGATATAACCAAAGGTGCCTTTTTTTATTTTTTTTTATTCAGGCATCTCAGTGGTCACCACTTATAATCTTTCAGCCACATTAACCCTTTAAAGGAAACTCAGTAAAATACTTTGACAATCAAAATTTCAAGCCAATAGTTTGATTGGAATCCAGGACAAGACTTTGTTACCTTTGTGACATTAAAAAAATATGGATATTTTGATAGCAAAAACTAATTTCAATGTAATAACAAGAAACACCAACTTGTCTGAATATATTAAGAAAAATAACAAAAGTACCTCTATAGGAAATTCATGAAAAACACAGTGAGAGTAAAAGAAACAGTTTTTTTTTTTTTGCTACAACATAACTTTAGAGGCATTAATGCTGATACTGGCTCTTATATTTTTTTTAGATTATAAACCTAAATATAATTGTTAACTAGGCTTATTAACACTTTAAGTTTTACTTTTTAACCTTTCAATTAGCTTTTTACCTTTTTTCTTCATTTGTTAACTTTTTTCAAACTAAATCTACAGTTAATTAATCTAATTTGTAACTTGCCCTATAAATGGTTAAATCCAAAGGTCATACTAGCATTTTGATTTACATTATGCTTTTGTAATATTTAGAGGTAATTATTTTTAACCAGAAGATTATGAAGAAAATAAATTTTTGTATATATGACCATAGGTAAGTTAATAGCCGCTGCAACAAGGTGAGGCTTATTCTCTTCTGTTTAATTCATAATCATTAAAGCGTATTAAACATGAAGGGCTAACCAACAGATTTGTAGGGGTGTAAAATGCCCCCCTGGAGCCGTCTATATGGGACATTTTGTTCCAAACATTTGTAAGTTCCTTCCAGCGCAGGAATCTGTTTGTACCTGCTTTGATCACCAAGTCTTTAAAGTAATATTTTGTCATCTTGTTTTAATTTACTGTAAGGAAATCCAGTCTTTTGACTGTAAAAGATTAGCAGGTAGTGTAGATGTGTGGGTTAGTTTTGCTGAATCAAATGGTAATCTGTTTAAAACAGGGCATTTAAACAGGGTCCAACTAAAACTCTCTAGAAAATAACATGCATTTAAATAAAATTCAATGTTCAACTCATGCATTTTTTTTAGAGGGATTTGCCTCCACAAATTCTTTTTACAACAGTTCACTACCAAACAAACTAGTTCTTGTTGATTTTAAGGGTTGATTTCTAAAGGTTTAAAACATAAGGCAGCTGGAGCGATTATGGCAACCAGTGTTTACAAAATCAAACTGGTAATGACTGGACTTGGCCGTGTGCATCAACTGTATTGCACCTCAGCTTGTATGCTGATAATGTGTCTCATAGAAAAAGCCAGTTTTAAGCATTTTAATCTGTTTTCTGTACTTTCTGTTGATTTATTTTCTAATTTATTGGATTGATTGTCGTGTTTAAATTTGTCCGTGCATTTCAGCCTGTTGTTTTTTCCAAGTTTTTACAAATATATGCTACAAAGGTATTACAGTCCCCCCTCTCAGATAGTATATGAAGAAATGTGCTTGTAGCTGCAGCTGTACATCCCAGCGATTGCACAGCCATTTTTCTGAAACATGCACATATTCACATCAGGGATGCACTATTAAGAAAACATTCGGGCTATTATTGATATCTGGAATTATTGAGGCTATGTGGCTGATATTGAGCAATAGCTCCTGCATTGCATTACAACCAGTATCAGATGGCTAAGCAGTACCTCATAGTCAATCTCCCCTCCTTTCAAAACACAAACATCAACAACATGAGCATTAGTTTAATAACATTGTCTGGCTGATTTAATCTGCATATCTAATTAAAAAGTTCTATTTTCTGCAGTGATTTTTGGATTGCACCGCCTGTCTGCAGTCATGCCTTTTCCGTTCGGGAAGTCTCAGAAGAATCCAGCCGAAATAGTAAGGACTTTGAAGGACAATGTTGCACACATGGAGAAGTTGGATGCTGCAGACAGCAAAAAGTGTGAAAAGGTTTGACACCATCTTTTTCCTTTTCCTCTCTAGCTCGTTAAAAATGAATCGTGGGTTGTAAGCTTACATTACAAGACCCAGTCAATCTTCTGCTTGTTTGGTTTCCATTACTAAGGTTGCAGAGGAGGTGTCCAAGAACCTTGCTTCGTTGAAGGAGGTGCTAAGTGGGACAGGGGACAAGGAACCTCAAACCGAAGCGGTGGCTCAACTCGCACAAGAATTATACAACACCAACCTCCTCATCGCACTCATCGCAAACCTGCAGAAGATTGATTTTGAGGTTAAATTAAAAAATATATATTTGTTCCTTTATTAAATTGATAAGTTGCAAAAGTTTAGGGATTATTTTGCAAAGAGCTGGATTAAGCAGAGTCTGTTTCTGCTTGCATCCAAATTCTGCCTGCTGATCTGTCTGAGTCATTATTTCACAGGGCAAAAAGGATGTGGTCCATTTGTTCAGCAACATTGTGAGACGTCAGATTGGCAGCCGCACACCCACTGTTGAATACATCTCCTCACACCCAGAAATCCTCTTCATGCTTCTGAAAGGGTCAGTTTATTTTTTCTTTACTCTTTACCGTGAACAGTTTGGGTCAAAAATCCACGTTTTAGCATAAGGATTCAAACCATCCAATGAAGCAGAAACCAGCTTCTGCTCTTCTATTTGGATTTTATTTAGTTTTTTACTAATTTCCTCAGCTATGCGTTCGGTTTGCACTTCCGTGCACCGTATGCGTTTCAACAACTCCCAGAAGAACAAGCAGGAACTTGCTGCGCTCACCTGTGGGTTTCACATGCTGATGGAGAGATAGCAGAGCACCAGTTTTACAGCTCTTAAAAAAAGCCCCACCGCTCTGCCTGCTGAAGAGAGTAAAATTCAGCTTTAGCTGATCTGCGCTGGGGTCATCTCGGACTACCTTCAGCAGATCAAATACCATCTCATGCTGCTCTATGATGCATTTTTTATTTCATGGCCGTTTCCCTTGTTTTTGAACCTGAACTCTTCAAATGTCATGCTGACAAAGAAGACCTTTAACGTGTTTGTTGGGAGGAAGGCATGAAATGATGACATTTAATGCTCATGTGGTAAATTATTTCCCCTCTTATGTAGCTGCTGCAGTAAAGGATAAGGTGTCTGTTGGCCAGCTACCTGCAGGCTCAAAAATAAATACCTCACTGTGAATACAATTTTGTTGTCAGATTAGGAGCATTTAAAGTGCTTTAGCAGCCGGTTATTTGTTTTATCTGCTTGTATAATTGGTTGGTGATTAATTCTGAGGCTGACATGTGTAGCTGCTTGAAGCTGTGCTGACATGTGTTAACCTGTGCAGATATGAGAGCCCAGAAGTGGCTCTGAACTGCGGCATTATGCTGAGGGAGTGTCTGCGTCACGAGCCGCTGGCTAGGACGGTGCTCTTCTCCGAGGATTTCTTCTGTTTCTTCGGTTATGTCGAGCTCTCCACCTTTGACATCGCCTCTGATGCCTTTGCCTCCTTTAAGGTTGGCTCTCTCTCTTCCAAAGTCCTGCACTCCACCTTGATCATTCGCTGCTAATTTGTCTTTTTCCTCTCAGGATCTCCTCACTAGACACAAGATGATGTGTGCAGATTTCTTGGAGAACAATTATGACAGGGTGAGTTTATTCTAGTTTATCCGTTGCTCAAACATAACCTACCTTGTACTTAAGAGGCGTTTTTTGTCCACCAGGTGTTCACTGAGTATGAGAAACTGCTTCATTCAGAGAACTATGTCACCAAAAGGCAGTCTTTGAAGGTATTTATACCTTTTAATCTTAGAATTTGTTGTTTTTTCAGCTTACTTTCTTGCAATGATGGATTTTCTTTTAACTGTTTGGCAGCTCTTAGGGGAACTCCTGCTGGACCGACACAACTTCACTGTCATGACTAATTACATCAGTCGGGCAGAGAATCTGAAGCTGATGATGAACCTTCTACGAGACAACAGCCGTAACATCCAGTTCGAAGCATTTCATGTCTTTAAGGTGAGTAGTAAAATATGTCCAAAGATCAGATTGGAATGAGATCATCTCAGTATAATTGCCTTTAAAAAAAAACAGTTTTTACACAAAAAATATCTACAGACTAGGGCTGCAAATCGAATAATCTTTCGATTATTTTTTTCGATGAATTGATTAATAATCGATTAGCCAAAGGTTCCTTATAGAAGATTTTTTTTTTCGAAATCAAACCAGGTGAAACTAAAACTTTTCCACTTGAGGAGCTCTGGATAGAGCATATTGAGAGGATTACATTCTTGGTATAATTACTGCTCTAAGTGGGTCGCTCTGACAGCTAAAGGCATGTTTTGGAGTCTATAGTTCAGTTAACAATTAATCGATTGCTAAATTAGTTGACGATCATTTAAATGATCGATTAATCCGATTAATTGTTTCAGCCTTACTATGGAGGCAATCTAAGTTACTTTTATTCAAACTCAAATGTAAGGAATTGGATGCAGGCTGCTTAAAATCTAACATGGTGTTCGAAAAATTTAAAACCCTTTTTGTATTTGCAGAAATAGAAATCAGCCTGTTTTCAACTGTGAAAAGGCCAGTGAGACATGCTGTGTTGTAACTATCATTTTTCACTTTTATTAACATTTGTTTCACGATACAAGAACCTCGTCTGTTTAGCTGATTGCAGACTCGCCCAGAGCAGACAGCCTGACTAATTTACCATTACTGTCATCCCACTATACTTGTTTTACTCTAAAAAAGAACCAAAAAATGTCATGTTTACTGTGCTGTAATAATGGTTCCTTCTTACTCTATTACTATATAGCAGGTGTTTAGCAGGACCGGGGAAAATTTTAGAATCACAATTCCTAGTCCTGGGAATTCTCTATCGAATCAAAATTCTCAGAAATCCATTTTTAAAATGCGTTTAGATTCTGTGTTTTTGCTGCTCCTACTTGAGAGGGAATTAATTAGGAAATTATGAAAAGCGTCCAAAAGCAGCGGATCAGCTTACTCTAACGCGATGCAACAAGCTTCCTGCAAAGTCCCCAAGGGCTTCATCACAAAGGATTTAGGACTATAAGGCTCAGTTAAAGGAGAGGGCTTTAGGTTACCATGCTGGATCCGAGGTATGTTACACCTTCATTAAGTATCTTTAGTGATAAACATCCATCCATTTTCTGTCACGCTTATCCCAAGCAGGGTCATGAGGGGTGATGGAGCCCATTTCCAGCTGTTTAAGGGTGAGATGCGAGGTACGATATAGAAAAAGAGGACTAATACAAAAGTAATTTCATGGTGTAGAGTTTGTCTGAAGTAATTTAGGGGTTTTCTATCCATCCATCAATTTTCCATCACGCTTATTTAACCCTAGTGGGGTAGCGAGGGTGCTGGTGCCTATCTCCAGCTGTCTACGGGCGAGAGGCGGAGTCCTCCATGGACAGGTCGCCAGTTCATCACAGAGCAATACAGAGACAAACAACCATTCAAGCACACAATCACACCTAAGGTGAATTTACAGAAGCCGATTAAACTAACAGTCATGCTTTTGGACTGTGGGGGGAAGGCAGAGTACCCGGAGAGAACACACATGCACAGGGAGAACATGCAAACTCCATCGAACCTGGAACCTTTTTGCCGCAATGCATCAGTGCCATCCACAGCCCTAGTGATAAACAAGGGCCTCAATTATGTTCAGTCTTTATTCTGTTTAAATGTAAAGCTGATTCAATTTCTTTACTTTTTAGTTACATGTTAAACAGAATATCATTTTAAAAACCACTGAAATAGAACATTTTGTTTTTGAGTTGAAAATCTTTTCTGAATTGAATCGTTAATCAAAAAATCAATTTGAACCTCGAGAGAATGAGATTTGCGCATCTCATGTTTATTTATATAAATAACGTGTGTGTGTGTTTGTCTGTGTGTGTGTCTGTGTGTGTATATATATATATATATATATATATATATATATATATATATATATATATATATATATTATATACAGTGTGTAATTACTCTGTCTCTATCTCAATACTTGAAATTCCTTATATTAAAGGGACCGTGTTTGACCTCTGACACAGATTTTAGCTTATTTTGAAAATTATTAATTGATTTTTAGGGTCATTATAAAGCTGTTGTGCATATTAATGGTCCATGCTGGTTTTCCCAGAAGTGGAACCTTTGCGTTGATATCTAGCTTTTGTCGGGGGCTGATGTCTTTACTTGTTTTTAGACACTTTTTTTAGTAGATATGCACAATTATCAACATTAAAACATATCTGTATCCACCTAATAGGTGAAACGGGGATGACAAACAAACTGTTGTTTTTCCAGAAAGGAGGGGTTAGTCATGTGATGTTTTTCGGCCATGTGACAGTGATAGAAATCCAGCAGAGGATTGTGGGTGTTTAACTGAAGCAAAGAATCACTCTCAGCACTATGGTTTGTTTTTCAGTGCAGAGTTCCAGGCCATAATGTCTGTATTAATATCAGTTATTGATGCATCCCTGATGCATCACTAGTTTTTAACTGAGATGTCCAGGAGTGATGGAAGGACTCGGCTGTGTGGAGCAGAGGTGGACCTCTGCCTCCTGTTGCTCCTCTTTAATCTCTTATAAATTCTTGTCCTGTTTAATAACGGCCCCTTTCCATTAGTATCACCTTGAGATGTCATGGTATTGAATTTCTGTAGAGCGCTCACCTGGACGTCATTGTTTTTTCTCCCCATCACTCTCTGCATCCTACCATCTTATTCTCCAATTTTAAACATCAGATAAGGGCTTTAATGCTAGCTAAGGTCTCCTTCGTAGTTTTCCTTTCTGCTGGAATTTTAAACTGATGCCCTGTACATTATAGAAGCTTTGTTTTCTCTACAGTCCTAAATAAAATGGTTAAACTGCATAATTAGTGTACAGTAAAGCCATGAAAAGCTCCACAAATGACTTAATGCTGGAGTCTGATGCACTGAAGCACAGATGCATCTAAAAGTCCCAGGAGGGCGGTCCTTGGCTTCTGGAATTTGAGACCACTACTCTTTTTTTAGTGAACAGTCAGAGGTAGAAACAATAAATCGTCATTGTGGTTACAAAAGACTTTCCTTTTTTCAAACTTCATACACACTCAAAAACCACACCCTCCCACCCCAACTGGACCCAAAAATAACTACAATAATTGTGATTGTAATGAATAAAAAACAAACAAAAAAAAGAACACTGCACCAAAAACTTCAGTTTTTGTTTGTTAAATGTAGGTAGGCAACAGAATAAACAAATTAAAACAGTAAGTGAATAGCTCGATCTGCATTCCAAGGTATTTGTGGCTAACAAAGTATACCTTTGTGTATGCTCAACTTTTTAATTAAAACCACAGAATCTTTCAATTTAATACAATGTTGGTGGAAGTTCTTGGAGGCCACTAAAGTATGATAGAAAGGGTTCCAAAGAGATTTAAATTTGTCTGAGAGCCTTATAGCAAATTTGTGCGACCACTAATCTAAGCATTAGGGTTGTCACGATACTAAACTTTTCAACTCGATACCGATACTAAGGAAAATATTCGATGCTCGATACCATTTTCGATACCACAAGGATAAACACAAAGACTCCAAAAATTCTACAGAAATATTTTTATTAATAAATAAAATACAGTAAATAAATACAATAAACAAAAATAATTCTCAGCAGCTGCACCTGTTACAAAAAAAAAGTCTGAAACTGAAAAGTGCACAGAATTATTCAATCACACAGTGTTCTGAAAGTGCATTGTCCTCTATTCTGCACTTTAGATGAATGACTGCTTAGGTGCCACTGATGGTGGCACTGTATCGATACTTTTAAAAACAAGTATTGTATCCGGATACGACGTTTCAGTATCGATACTTTTTGACAACCCTACTAAGCATTAGTCCCAATCTATGGTGTGGAACTTTATCAAGCCGAGTTACCCACCTCTGCTGAATATATAATTGAAATCCCAGCCTGAATGCATGGCAAATATAACATCTTACAAAAATATTGCATCTAAGATAGAGATCAAACAATGTTTTTTTTGTTTTTTTTTTCCAAGGCCGATACAATTATTTTGACATCAGTTTAGCCAACCTCCGATATGTGCTGCCATTTCTTTCTGCGCTAGTTTTTTTCGGCTGAAGTTGCTTTTTATTCCTCTATTAATATGATAGAATCAAACAGTAAGAACAACTGTTACACTAATCTCTATAAACAAAAATAAAAACATTTATTAACCAATTAAATAATGGGGGCAGCGGCAATGCATGTGATTCACATGATCTTAGCGCATGGCTGCTGAATGCACGCATGTATTGCCCAATGCGATACATAAAAACACTACTATTGGCCGGTCAATGTATCGATCTCTAATGAGCAGTCCTGTAATTCACTAAATTGTACACATTCTGTACTTTGGATTATCATAAAATTCTTTGTTCCACCCACTGAAATCATTCATGGAAGCCACAGCTGCTATATTTTTTGTAATTTCCTTTTTTTTTGTTTTCTTAAGGTATTTGTAGCAAACCCAAACAAGACCCAGCCAGTGCTCGACATCCTGCTGAAGAACCAGGCCAAGCTGGTGGACTTCCTGAGCCACTTCCAGACGGACAGGTCCGAAGACGAGCAGTTCTGCGACGAGAAAAACTATCTGATCAAGCAGATCCGAGACCTGAAGAGACCAACGGCACCCGAGGAGTCTTAAAACCTGAAGGAGGCGCTTGTTTCTCTCAGGCGGTACATGGTAGAGGTGTCTGAAGCTGCAGTGGGCTGAGTGAGTGGAAACTAAAGAAAAACACCAACATATTTAGATCTAGTTTTAGGTATAAAACATAGGAAAGATGTTCTGAATTTTCATTTTCTGGTATAGTGTGAATACGGTGAGGATTTTATTCAGCACCTGTGTGGGCCAAGAACTGTTATTTAAACCACAGTGCTTCTTATTTAGCGACAGTGGAATGCCTTTACTCTGCTTGTGTAATGTTGGACCTTAAACTGTTACTCCTTCATAGATTGTTGCTAAAATGTCCCAACATTTGCTCAGGCTCTAGAGATGTTCTCATAAAATAATTATCCTTAACTTGTGTATTATATAAAGATTGAAATACTGAGAGGTAAATATATTATTTTTCTAATGTAACCGCCACCTATAAATGCTCCGGTTTGCTTTATTATTTGCCTTATTGTATGTTTTCTCTCTGTCGGCGTGGGAGTTAAATGATCTTTAGAAATATGGCCCTAGCAGAGCAGCATGTGGCTCTTTATTGGCCAAGTCAGCAGCCAGGGCTTTGGTTGCTTTGTCTGGCAGCAGTCAAACGTGGAGCCAGCCGTGCTGCATGTGTCAATGCAGGAAGCACAAGTCAAACCAATGAGGAATCGATCAGGTCTGTTGGAGATTGATATTTTTTTTTTGTGTTTTTTTTTTTTTTTTTTTTTTTTTTGAGGTTGCGTTTGGCAACGCTTACAGTGACTGAAATAGAAACAAAGAATCAGATAATGCTGCAGGGTCGGAGCTAGACAATTGATCGGGCAGAAAGCACTCCATTCATGTCCACATACAGAACACACACGGTCCTGATCTATTAAAACGGATCGCAGCCTTTTTCATGCTGTAGGTGCTTCTCATGATGCAGCCCCAAAATGTTTTCTGGTGATATTAACTTATAAGCATTAGGTCTGCTTCTTTCTCTGAACTCTGGACAGTTTTTCATTCTAGAAATGTCTTTAGAGAAAATGCACTTTTTTCTAATTTCCTAAGTTACTCTGCTTGAATAAAATGTCAATAGAAATGAATCAATAAACATTCCCCAAATTGCAAGACATTCCTTTTTTTTTTCTCAAAGATTATTTCAAATTGAGTATGGTCAGGGTTTAATTTGCTGTCATCTGTTATGCTACGTTCACACTGCAAGCATCAAGAGCAGCAAAAATGCATGTGTTGCTTCATTTTTGATGCTTGTAGTTTAGTTCTGATGCGCGGGTGAAGCAGCTTTGCTGCTCTGGCTGCGCCGTGGAAAAAGTGGGTTTGATGCACGTTAGGCAGAGCTACCCTATCCTATTTTTTCCTGTAACAATGGCGGCTATATGTGCTGTGATCACTGGGTATAAAGTAGTTTTATGTTTTTAAGTGGGAAAGTCCAACTGAAAACTTAATCAGTGCAGTCAGTTCATCCAGATTACAATCCTGCCTTCAAATATTATTTCTGTTGGAGCCGCTCAGACCCCCACATACCGGTGGTGTGCTGTCAGTAAGAATCCCGTTCAAGAGCAGCCTCTGGCCCAGTCTCCTCTTCGCGATTTGCCGCGGCGGCTGGAAGGCCGTTTTCATGTACGTAATCGAAACTGCAGGCACTGGGATAATAAAAGTGAACAGGTTTTACTGGCAGATTTCGGCATTTTAAGTTAATTTAGTTAATAAACTGTTCCAGAGGAGTGATCATAGTGTTCTGCATCATCAGTGCTGTGTCTGTCTCCCTGCAAGCTCCCAGATCAGCTTCTCTGATTGGTTGATGTGGCGCGTCGAGCAGCAAAAGTTCAATTTCTCCAACTCCGGCAGCTGCTGCGTTTGCAGCGCTTCACGCAGCAGAAGCTCATGACGCGCTGCTCCTGCTGCATATGTTTTGCTGCACCCCGATGTACGTCAACCATTGACTTTGCATGTAAACTAGCTGCTCCTGCTGCCTCTACTGCTTTAGGTGTGAACGTAGCATTTGATCATTAAATCATCAAGCGGCCTCTCTCTGATCATTATTCATATTAGCAACAGAGGCGACATCACACTGTGAGACAGAGATGTTTGCAGTTTGAAGGTAACCTTTGAAACTTGTTAGCACAGCTAGCATTACTAACAGCTGTCCTGGAGTTCTATAGCAAATGAAAAAAAGAACTTGATCTTATATTTTTTAAAAGCCTTAAATAAATGGTGTTTTATGACAGTTGGATAAAACAGATCCCCTCTGCAGTTATTCATTCAGCTCGCTGTTTCCTCATGACGTCTAACTCATGTATCAGACTCAGCTACCAGCTAAAACGCTCTTAAAGCTTCTGTTCTTTCTTCTGACTTGATTTCTAAACACCTCACTGGTACTAAAACAGCTACTTTAGATTCATCAACAACATCCACTGAAGCGTCGCAGTGTGACCTGGTAGTGCTCCTATGTGGTGCGTTCACTGTCAGAAAGAAAATAGGGAATTGAACTGTAGAACTGGACCAGTATAATATATATATTTTTTTTGCATCTCTAGTTATATTAGATTATTTAAATACGCTTTACTCTAATAGATCTGATGTCGGATGTCACCACAACCCTAAAAGTCAAACGAGGCGTCTGCTGAGGTACAGGTTATAGAAACAAGCCTGAGTGTTTTTGTGCAGATTTGGTTCCAATGCTGGATTTATTTTTGTGCATTACTGATTGTTTAAGAGTGATTTTTCTGAAAATGTTTTGTTTGTTTCTTAACGTTCTCATGAAATAATTTTAAAAAAATTAAGGATTTCTAAAAGTCATCATTGTCAAACATATACCTCCCTGGATTTAAAAAAAATCCACCTTAGAAGGCAGAACATTATTGAGGACAACACTTCACATGTGAACTGGGTGCTGCCTTGTTTTCGCTGTTAAAAAAAAAAAAAAGGTGTTTTAATATCTTTGGTTGATGCATCATTTAATTTATAGTAAAGTTAATGTTACATTCCTGACATCTGATTATGCTCATAAGCCAAAGGCACAGAAACGGGGTGTGTTGTTTTGTAAAAGCACAAAGTGAAGCAGGAAAAAAAAGCCAAATTGACATCCCAGGGAGCTTAAACTTTTAATGACCAACTGTGTTCAAGGTTACTTCAAATAGTTTCTAACAAAAGAGAAGTTAATTTCAAAGCCAGTTGATTTAACGTGTATGTTAAACACATCTGTTTCTTTAGTTACTGATTATGTCGATCTGTTTTGTTGAGATTTGATTCCAAGCATGACATGCACTTTGAAATGTAGGCCATGTAGTTCACTGCCTTTTCCACCAGGGGGAGCTGTAGGTAACAGCTGGCAGCTTGTGAAACTTATAGAAACAGCATTTCAAGTTTCTGGAACCCTACCTCCTACACTGAGATCATACAGGATTATGTAAAAGTCTATTCTGCTTGTATATTTCCAATTAATCTGAAATGTAGTTATTATCGGATCACATTATTAACCAATAAAGCTGTTTTTTTGAGGTCATGGACCAACACAATGCAAAATAAAAGTGCCTAAACGTCTTGCTTGGTAAATTATCAGACAGACTGGCTTATCCTTTGAAGTAATGTTCAAACAATTCAGAAGTTTTAATTGGGTTAGGTAAAATGAAAAAAGGATAAATCAGAAATTTTGACCGATCTCTGTTCTTCTACAGGATTTGGTTATTTGAAAGCAAACTATAACACATGGCTCGACTTTTACAAAATCCTGTAAGCCTCCAGCGATACTATGCACCCATTAAATTTAACTATTAAAGATCAACCCTATATATTTGTTGATCTTTAGTTTCTTGTTCTTGTGCTTCATTTTCTTCTTATTATTAATTTGCTACCTTCTCCTTTTTACTCTTTCCACACTGGATGTTTTATTTACTGTGGGAGCAGAATGTGTGTAAATAACATTATGAAAGATAACTGAAGTGTGAACACATTTATGAAAATAAAATGTTTTGGCAAGTTGTGGTGTGTTGATTTCTTCATTAATCCCTCATGTCAAAAATCCCTCAAAATGAAAGAATCTGTGTTTAAAGAAGACATTGTGACATTTGTCCAACAAACCAGACAACCAGACAAACCAGACCAGTGCGCGCCGTCATTCAGACAGCTAGGGCCTACTAACCTGACAACAGCCAGATGCATGTCTCCCTCCGCCCAGCTAGGAGCTAGGCGGAGGGAGACATGCATCTGGCTGTTGTTGGGCTCGCTGTCTGAATGACGGCGCGCACTGATACGAACAGAGAGAAAATAGGACCAAGTGATAACGACGTGTGACTTTTTCCACTACAACGTTTTTGGGATGCAAAAATATCACTCTTTTGAACACATAATGTTTTGGGAAGAGAAACGTTTTATTTCGCTGGGTCTAGCAAACCTGCCGGACTACTTTTGGCTTGACCAAAACTGGACGAGAACTCTGCTCACAGGATGCTGCCAGGGGTAAGTCAGTGTGATTGCATGACACTGGTGATGGGGATGCCATACAGATTCATGTCAAAAATACTGAACTATCCCTTTAAGGTAATTCATTAAATAAATAAAAAAAAACATTTAGAAGTAGAAAGTTTGTCCAAAATATCTTTTATATTTAATAGCAATTTATTTTCTTGTAATCGACTAACTAATCCCCATCTCTCACAGCCAAAAATCTTCTGGTCTCAATATATTCAAGGACTTCAAAGATCCAGTCCAGGTAGACCGCGTCCTTGCCTGTAACCTGAGGCTCATGAGTTTGAGCACAGCCTATATGATTTCACCACATCAGGGCAGAGGGAGACCGAATGGCATCTATACCCTTTAAAGAGCAGCCTAATGAGGAAAATAGCTGCAGCATGGGAAAGTGGGTTAAAGCTGACTGGGAGAAGAAAGCCTGGAAAGCTGGGGCGCTTTCCCATAGAGAGGGGCGGAGCTAGAGGCGGGGGCCATGGCCAATCATTAGCCACCCCTACCATTTATTTCCCTCCAATACAGTTGGTTGCGAAACATTTAAATTTTCCATATATTAACAATTACTTGAAAACAAAAACACTGTGGTTAATTATGCTCATCAATATACTAACAATAAAGATGATAAATACAGAATTCATGCTCTTTCCAGAAATAGATGTTGTGTTTTATGGGGTAAAGAGAAAATTATGCGTCTTTGCAAGTCATCTAGGAGCTTCAGTGAAATCATAGATAAATAACTACTTTAATAAAAACATATTAAATGATCAATTTATGTAGATATTTGTATTTGTAAATATAAATTTTATGCAGAATAATTACTGATAAAAGTTGGTAAGTAATGACGATGTAAAAGATGTTTGCCCAAAATACCTTTTGTCAAGAAAGCACAGATATTCGAATAGATTCCTCTGTTTGTTAGCAAATGATATGGGAAAGTATAGTTTGTCTGTATTTAGAAAATATGGATGTTTTGCTCGTTAATTTTCCTGTTGGAACAGTATAGATACTTTGGCCACCCCTCAGTGTACATTAGTTAATGCCTGGCCCCCCTTATTAACATTTTCTGGCTACGCCTCTGGGAGTGTCACCATGCTTTGCCAAGAGGATCTGCATGTATCAGCTCTGCTGGCCCTTCTCTGACACTACTGTGTCCATGAGTGGGTGTGGGACGTGGGGGCAGGGTTTTAACAGGGGTTACAGGTCACAAGCCTTGACCAGCTCAGTGTTGCATGGCGGAGGGAACAGAAGCAGCAAAAACCCGCTTTTCCTCCCAACCTGTGAATAAATTCTTGATTTCACAGAGAGAAGAGCTCATCAGGAGAGATTTGCATGTAACAACAAAATGTGTGGAATGAGGTTGGTGCCTGGAGGACATCCTGACCCCACCCCCACTGCAGGGAAACAAGCAGAAAGGATGCTCCCGGTTTCATGCATGACAAAACTTTTTGTTTGTGCTAAAGAAAGGGGGCTGCAGAGCAAACATCTGCGGGGAAAGGAAGCCTGGAGGAAGCTCCGTTCATTCTGGACGGGACCAAGGTAAGCCTTCTACTGGTTTCCTCCCAGTCTGATCACTTTAATGCGCTTAGAAACCAGTTTGTCGGATTTAAGCGTCCCGCAAACAAAACGCAGCCACGCTGAGCCGATCAATTGGTCACGTGACGCGTTATTTACGCCCTTGTTTCAGTTTCGTCTTATAATTAAAAGAAACTGATTTAATATTTCCTTTTATCGTTTAATTATGCGTCATTTTTTAATTGGAGCGCTGCGCGCGGTCATTGGCTCTCCATAAAGGCCTCGTGTTGGCGCCATTTTTAAAACTTCACTCTTTGATGTGGTTTAAACGTGTAAAAGGGGCCAGACCCCAATTAAATATATATATCAGTTCAGACGGTGAAATACGGCGTCAACGCCCGCTGTTAATAGGAAATACTCTGACTTTACTTGAGTTATTTTTTAAGTTCCCTTTTTATTGGAAAATGAAGCTCATTCAGTTTAAGCTCCGCCCCTTTTCTTGGCCTCCGCGAGGCGGATAAATCCAGAAGGTGGTGGAAATTTCCCCACGAATTTAAACGCGAGGGGCGCGTGGTTTTCAACACACTAAACACAAAAAAAAAATAGTGATAAACTTATCTTTGTTGTATAAATTTGAATATATTTCTCCACTTTGCCTTTATTCTTGACCCACTCAAACAGAGCAGGCCTTTCAATTGTTTGGGCATTTCAAAGTAAAGTTATCATTAGTTAATAATAAATCTGCAAAACTTTCCCAGCAGCGTTCAGTCCCCTTTACTCTGATACACCAAAAGAAAACCACATCCAGTCTTTTCAAATAAAACGTAAACTAAGTCCACTTGTTTTTTGTTTTTTGTTTTTTTTTGATGGCACATTTCCTTTTATTAATTCCAAAATTTTCTGCCACTTTGAATATAAAAAGAATGGATAACTGACATGTGTATGAAATTAGCTTTGGGGTCTGACAAGTCCACTTGTTTTTAATGAACCTGTAATAAATCAGAGGTTTACAACCTGTGGTTCCTTTTTAAATGCATAGAAATTATATTTATCTTTATCTATAAGATATTTATGGGTCTTTTTATGTTTTATTTAGATGGACTGAAAGTAAACCTGCAGTTTATAAAGAGCTGCAGCAGGAAAGAGTTTGATGAAGAGCTGAGAGAGATTACACCATGCAGCAGGTAGGCCAGGGAGGGAGTTGTGTGGAAGGGTTACTAAAAAAATCAAAAAAGATAAATAAAAACAAAAAAACATAATTGGAGAAAAGTTCAACCAAAAGGCGTTTCTGTAAAAAAAAATGACTCAAAGGAGCTGAGCACAAATATTCGGCCCAATTTTCAGATTTTTTGTTTATTAAAAATTTTGAAAATGATTTTTTCTTCCCTTCCACTGCAGAGAAATGTGATTTTCTTTTATGATGAATAACTTCATTTGTGGAAAAAACTAATTATGTGACCAACTAGTATACACAGACTCTTAAAGCAAAGCTATTGTTAGAAAATAAAAGAACATAAACATACCTAGTAAAATAAAAAATGAAGCTAAAGCTTTCCAGAAAGTAAATACGTTTTGGATTAAAGATGAAAAACTTTTATTTTTGTGTGAATATGCTTTATTAAGAACTCCTCTAATGCATTTTTGACGTTTGAGGTTATTTTATCTTACATGGTTTTTTTTTTTTTCTTTCCAATTATAAATTGATTGACACCGTAAAAACAAACAGAGAGAATAGGACTGGAGAATTTAACGACAACAAAAATAGAAAGACCAAAGACCTAGAATTTTGTTTAGGTGTTTCTAGGGGAAGGATGACCTCACTTCGGAAGTGATTGATTACATTTACATACAGTAAGGCTTAAAATTTAAATGTGACCTCTTTCTCCCGGTCCTTATTTCAAATGGGTAAAACAAAAAATTAATCAATAATTAGAAAATGCTTATATT